GACTGCCTGCCTCTCATAGCAGACCATACCCTCCTTGCAGGTGTTCTGCAATACTGTGCCATCAGCAAAATGCTCTTCCCCTTGCTCACAAGCTCCTATGCTTTCCAACACATAGGGGTGGCTGTGGTTTGAAAACTCTCAGCTCTCACTGCTCCTGCAGAGAAAAAACAGAAGAGCCAGAAATTACGCAGCAGCAAGGAGCAGCATTTCCTGGTCTCACCTGGTGAGCAAACACCGCGCAATGCCATCAGAGAACACCGAGCAACGCCCATGCATTTTAGGCAGAGTGAGGAAGAGCCCCTATAATGGGACATGAACTCTGCGATCACAAGGGCATTTTGCTGGCAGATCTTCTGCACAAAAACGTAGACCTCGCCCCAGAAAGGCCATCTGTAAATGGTCTTTTGCAAAGGTTTTTTCCTCGTGAGAAATGCCCAGGGGCATACAGAGCCTCAGGAGAACAAGGCAAACAAGACCCAAGGACATGGCACCAAGTGTTATGAGACTAAGGCAAAACCAGGAACGGAGGCCCAGTTATTTTTGCAGAGGACACGCGAAGGGAGAACGCGATCTGTTACAATCACACCTCTACAGAAAAAGCCTGTTCTTCTCTCCAACAAATCCCTGGAATCATAACCCACCTGAGGATACCACAAGCGTATTACCTCTGCATATTAAGCCGTCTGAATTGAGCTGCCATACAGTACGCCTGCTACAACACACGACGCACAAAAGGGCAAAAATACAGCAAAGCGGAGCTGTGAGAGAACAGAATGGCAAAAATAAAACCAGGTATCAAGATTTCAACTGTTAGCAGAGTTCTGCAGAACGAACCATCACTGAAGGCTGGCAGACAGCATTTCTCTACACAATGGTGCATGAGTGGACTTCTAGAAACAGAGAGAGAAGCAGGCACAGAAGGACCAGAGAACACCACACCCAGGCAGTTTATCAGTGCAGAAATCCCCAGCAACCCAGCTCTGTGAGGACAGATGACACGCATGCATGAGCGCGTTTCTTGGAGCCCACATAAAGGATGGTTAATAACATGTTAAACAAAGTTCTCTGCTGCCATGGACTATAGCCTTTATTTTAGACAACCAGCTCAGGAATAGCAAGAAACCTTTCAATACACGGTCCCACCCAATTAAAGCAACAGTTGGAAGGAGCGGCAGTTTGGGACACGGAAAAAAAGAAAAAGAAGCAACTGCAATATTTTTTTTTTTTTAATTAGCAAACGAACAGTATCTGGACATCTAAAGGAAATCAGCCCTTTCCAACATTAACTCAAATGTCATTGTCAATTATTTGCACCATTCCCACACTTTGTCTTTTGTACAGCCAGAACCTTTGGGTAAACAAAGAGCACAGAAAAACAAAAAAAATACAATACATACAGGTTTTCACCAACTAAATCGACTTCGATTTTTGGAGATTAGCAATGCTTTTTTCATCTGACTTTGCAAGTAATATCAAAACATCTCAAGCTTTAAAATAAAAAAATACTACAATATTCACAATATAAAACTTAAATAAATTTTTTTAAAAATCAAAGGACTGCTAATAGCTATTGATTTATCACAGCTGTCTCTTTCAACAGAAGCTCTGCTGATGAAGCACTGAGAATTTAAGGTTCACAAAGCAACATTCACATTGGGCATGGCTCCTGGTCAGAGTTAAGAGGCTGCAGTGCTCATGAGACAGTGCCACTGGAGGCTCATCCAGGAGTACAACTCAAATATGTCCCACTGATGGGGTACGGCAAGGTCACAGAACGAGGCAAACACACACCCATGTACAGCGGGGCTGCCTGCTTCCCGAGAGTGGAAATGCAGGTCCACACATCACCATCACATGCATGTCTCATCTAGTCATCTGCATTCCCAGCTCAAGCTCCTCAGTTCATGGCTGGGCAAACAGAGTGGAAATGACTACGACGTACGTGACACTTCCGCTCCTCTGCTGTTCTGTGCCTGCTAACATACTCCTGTGTTTTATGGAACAGTCATTCAATAAAGTGACTGGAGAGAAAACGCTCAGGGGTCAGTCTCCTCTCTGGTGTACCTCTGCAGAGTGCAACGGAACCGCACCAATGCGGACTCTGCTCCATCATGCTGAGTGTGTAAGCCTTACACAAACAGGGCAGATAAGGGAGCAAGAACCTACAAAGGAGAAATTCACTCCACCCTTACACAATTTCATCCATGATAAAACAGATCATTAAGTGTGCTTGAAAGGCAAGAGAATCAAATTTTGCCTAGGAAAGCTGGATTCTGTGATGGAATCCAGGTTCAGCTATTTCATTTTCACTTCACCATTCAAAGGAAGCAGAAACTAGGACAAATAACAGCTACAGTATTTATCTCTTTGGTAACTTCTGTAAGAGAGCCTCTAAGCAATGGGGACATCTTACAGTAATCATCATAAAAGACCGATAAGATCCTGCAGAAGTTTCACAGATTGAAAAAAACTGCGGCATGATCTGGGAAAATCGCTTGTCCAAAATTAAACAGGGCCCGTGGGAGGGTGAGAAAGACTGCACAGGAACTGGATCCCTCAGACTCCTGCTCTAGTCACACAACAGCGCCTTGGTGAAAGTGAGATACACAACCCGAATCAATAACCTCTTGTTACAGACAGAAGGTCTGGAGTGCATTTTAGGGTATTTCTTTAAGGCAAAAATGGGTGAATACTAGCTAAGGAGACAGGCAGGCCTAGTAAATAGTCCAAAAGTGGACCAAGTAGCTGTAGTATACTTTCACAGTGAAGCGCCTCTGTGGGTCAGTTTAAAGAGGACTTGGATCCCATCACTTCTGGTCACACACTACTTTTCAGTCCGGCACAGGCAAGTTGCAGCCTTTCTGTGACAGAAAACTACCTGTTGTGTACAATACCTTTGTTTTTGTTTAGCTCCTTATAAATAAAGTTTCACATTCAAGCTTTGTTTCCATAGCCAGCTTTCCCCTCATATTGCAAGAAGACCCAGCTCACACAGCAGGGGCCGAAGAGGCAGCAGAGAACCCAACCGCTCCTTCCAGCTGAGGACACAGTTTCTTCAGAAGAGGCTGCAGACAATCTTGAGGCAGAACAGCAAGACTTGCATTGCCATGCTCCCTACTTTACCTGTTCTTTGTCTTGAGCAATAGTGTAACCCGGTGTGACCCAGTCAGCACTTAGACCAGCAATACAATGAACAGGAAGTCCTGTAGATCTCTGAAATTTCCAGCAACGTGATAAAACAAGAGCACTGAACAAGAGGTCTGTTCAAAGTGATCTAATGCTGCCATGAAGCACTGTTTCAGGGTTGAAATCTGAAGTACCTGCCTGAAAACCTAACTACACAGAGGCAGAAAACTGCACTTCAAAAAGTATCAACTACCAAGTCACCCATATACAGCTTGTCACTCAAGCAGCTTGCACGGAGCATATTAGAAATGTGCATCTTCCTTAAAATTCTGGAATAACAACGAACTAGCTGCACATAATCTCCCCAGATGAAAGACTGTCAATAGCTGCTAACTGAAGGCTGTGATAATCCTGAAGACCACCACAAAAGGATTATGTGACTGCAGCCTGCAAAGGAATGGGAGAAGAATAAGCTGTCTTCCAAACGAGTGGTGGCATCCACCACAAGTCAAGAGTTTTTGGAAGTGGATCTCAAATAACTGTCAGGCCACGGATCCAATTCCAGAAAGTAAAAAGGCAAGAATTAATGAATCAGTAAGAAACAACCTCAAAACAACCACTCCTGCCTTGGTTTTGTGTAGTGCAGACCACAGGCTGGTTTATATAACTCGTCATTATAGTGCTCGCTGATCTGTAAAGGGTTAAATTCTGATCTTACTCAGTGACTGCATCCTTTCAGCCCAGATAAATGGACTTCCAGGCAAAAGCACCACTGGGAAGTATGTATGCCATGCTGCGACAACAACATACCTCCAACTAAGAGGACGGCTTGAGGTCAGCTTTCACTTCCTCAGCCTTCTGCTTCTCTTGCTCTCTTGTCACCGCTGCTAAAATTGGTTCAAGAGCACTTGAGACTTTTAGTAGAAAATATTTTTCTCCTTGCATCAAAACCCAGAAGGTTTAATATTTACTATGACCACACAAAAGTAGAATCTGAATGTGAACTGGAAGTTAGTGTTATCTGAGTACCGTTATTGGAGAGCTGAGAAAACAAAACAGTCCAGATTTGCTGCTTAAGGGCACATTTCCACTTTGCCAGCAGCTGCAACAAAGAGCATACAGTTTATCACGCTTGAAAGCTGCACAAATACCCATCGGGGAAGAGAGATTACTCTCCTCTAAAATACACTTTTTGGCTGGAGAAAGAGAGATTTGAGAACAGTCTTCCGGCTCCACCAAGAACCACTACTCCCTCTTTTACCTTTAGGAACAAGGAGGCAAGCTGCAATTTTACCTGGAATACAAATATTAACATGTTAAAGTCTGACCTAACAACTGAATTCTCTTTAAAACCTCATCCCTATGCAACTGTAGCATGACAGAGATTTCATTATTTCAGGATGGTTTTCCTGAAATGACATATGAAAAAGCTGCCCCTAAATGACATTTCAAGTGATAATCTTCATCCACACCTGAGGGGTCTGGAGACAAGGGAAGACACCAAAACTAGCCTGATAATACTACTTAGCCCTTTGGGCTTTTCCTCTTCCGAGTGCTTTGCAAAGAAAAAGCCTCACCACATCCCTGTGAGGTAGGTCAATAAGTATTATTATATTCCCTTAATACAGACATGGAAACTGAGGCAGAGAAGTTACTTTCCTCAAGGCCGCTGCAGGAGTCTGTCTCAAGAGATGGAACTGGGAGACAAGATTCCTTAGCTCTCAGAGAATTTCCCTTTCTCTTTCATATCTCTCCTCTTCCCCATACAAGTCTTAAAGGAGAAATGAGCAACAGAGAAAGGAACTACAGTGCCACATTTCTGACACATAGCAGGACTCCTAGTACTACTCACATACTCCAAAAATGATTATTAAATATACAAGTACCTTAGAATTAATGGCAAAATGACTGCACAAATTATAAAGAAGCCAACATACAATACAAACCTAGCTTAATAAATAAGTAAACACATGCAGCTGCAGTTGCGACCAAGTGCTGAGGGGTCCTCAGCTCAGTAAGGTCCCAGATGCCAATGGGTAAGCCCATGTCATTCCTGTGACTCTACTGCCACGCCAACGAGTGCGTGCCTGATAGTGCGACCATGGAGTTTATAGCCATCCTGAGTCACCAGAGCTATCGTGCCTGGCTGCATTCCCTCGGCTGGTACATGGCAGACTATTTCATGGTCATATGGATCATATTTGCCACCAACAGGGTTCATCTTCTGAAGGCCATGTTTGGCAAATACACTTTGCAATTTGGCCTCTATGAGAGAGAGGCCTTCATAGATTTTCTTCAGGGTTGGATTTGGAATAGCAGGCTCCGCTTCTTCTGCGGCACTCTCAGCAGTCTTCTCCAAGATATCTGCTACTTCCACAAGGTCTCTGCAGAAACTCTGGATCCCTACAGGCACAAAGAAGCAAGAAGTAAATGAAAGGCAATTTACAGAACATACACAGCTACAGTATCAGTAACAGGCAAAGTCACAGCAGTTTGAGAGAGAGAGAGACAGAGAGAGAGACAGAGACAGAGAGAGAGACAGAGAGAGAGCGCGTGAGAGTGTATACCTGACAAAGCAGAGCACTAGTATTTCACTCCAAAAACTCTTGCAACTATGACTTGTCATTTAGGACACTGTTCCACACCCTCTCACACAGTCCCACAAAAAAAAATGTTTTGGCCAACAACTCACACAAATGCCCATGCACACAGGGAGCAAACACAATGGGGGGAAGTTAAAATAATACATGAAGTGCATCCACAATTTTATTCATACGCTAAAACTACAGTGAAAGGACTGGACAAAATGGTCCTTGGGTTGGTCATGAAAAAGTCACGCAGTTTTTCTCGTTTAGAAAAATGGGTTTAGATTGTATACATTTCCAGAAGTGGTGTATTACACTGTGCAGAAATTTCAGGAAAACAAGCCTCTCTCAGCTACATAGGCGCCATAACTCACTTACCAGAAAGACACATTCGGAAAACATAGAAAGAGAAACAATAGTTTGGTGCTGTCTATAGCTGTACATACATGTTTAAACATGTACAAAGAAGCATGAAAGAGAAGCAACAAAGGAGCAGACAGAGCAGACTGATTGCCAACCATTTCCTCTTGCACCAGAGTCTGTTTCAACACTTTATATACCCCCGTGCCTCACTCCACGAGCAACTTCTAATAAAGAACCTAATTTTTCTTCAGATCTGAAGCATAACGCATCTAAAATTCAAAGAGCTAGGAAAAAACCCAAAATCTCAAAACCAGCGGTGCTGATTAGCTCAGATCTCAACAGCCATTTTATAGCACAATGGGTAGAACTGTAAGAAAAATACAGGAGCTCTAATTTCAAAGCTTCTGGAATTAACTAACAAAAACCCTCCTTGAGATTCATGCATTATGGAGAATAACAGTTTCTCATTCTCAGAGATGTTGCTGGTGGAGTGCAATGATTAAACAGCAGTTTTGTCCCCCTTCACCTGCCTCTGTTGCCAAAGCCACAAATCCACCTCACTTCACTGATGGTAAAATATTTCTTACAGAGGTTTTAAAGACCATCTGATGTAAGAATTGACAACCTTTGTCCCAGGCAGGATCTGCCTCCTAGAAGCTAGAGCAGAAGAGAAGAGGCTGTTAATATAGTAAAGGAGATCGCAACCTGATGATACAGCTAAGAATGTGAAATACACCCTGCCGTAGCCAATTTTCAGCATACAGAAAAGCCTGTAATTTTAACCAAGCCGGCAGAACTACACACAACTGCACTGTGCCTAAAAAAAAAAAATAAAAAAAAAAATCACAAAATAGTCACTGAGGTAAACCTTAGAGGACACAGCTGGACATACAGAAAAAATAGCAAGTAAGCCCAGACACCAAGAGTCCACGCCAAACATCATGCCAGATTTTACAATGAACGAGGGCAGGACAGGGGGACAGAAAAGCTGTTGTTCAGCATTTTATGCTCAGGCAGACAGGCCACTGCAGTAAACACAGCTCTGCCGCACTTTGCTTACCAAAGAGCTTGGCATCTTCCACAAACTTCTGCGTTCTCCTCCGGACATTCTCAGAATCTGCCAAGGCTTTCCGGTATCTCTCCTGTAATCACAATAGCAAGAGCCGACTTCAAACAAGGAGGTAAAACCCATTTTCTGACAGTCACTGACCCCTTAGAAACGCTTTAAAAAGAGCTCAGTTCACGTCAGAAGGTTGTGCTGGGATCTTGCATTTTCATTAAGTGCAAACCCAAGTCTGAGTAATCAGCACAACTGCAGCTCCCTCAAAAGACCCAAGTGAGGGCCAGAAGCATTCAGGGTGTAGCTCAACTGAACACCGCATTGTCAGGCTGCTGCTTTTCGCATGACTCACTGTGGCTGTTGAGACACTCCTTTCTCTAGCAGGCAAGTTGGTGGTCTCAGCTACAGATCTGCACACAACTGATTTATTGCCTGGTGCAGTAGTGTTCTTAAGGCAATTACCTCCAGAATTGCCTGGTGCTGCGGTATTCAATCCTCTCCTTAGTCACATCTGTTCTTCAAAGTCCCTAAACAGGGTCCCTCCCACTTCCACCACATCGCTGTCACTAAAGAGGACTTCCCTTCTCGGACAATCTGGATCTGGTGCGACACAATATGTGATGCTAATCAGGACAAAGCTACTGCCATTCCCTCTGTCCAATGCTGTGAAAAAACTGACCAGACCATCTCCAATATACAGTTTTGCCTACCAGGATCATACTATCAGTGCCTTGCTCCTAGATACTACTGACAGATGATGCTTCTGGGGAAGGCAGACTGTACTTTCACAGTGCACCCTCTCACACTTAGAGCACAGCTGTTTTGAAGGCTGCCATAGCCCACCGCTGTTGTGTGCATGTTACAGAGCTTATGCAAAAAACTAGGGCTGAAAGACAAGACCAAGTCATCGGGATTGAACGAAAAACACCATGATGCCACCAGCAGCATACTCACAGTTAAATCCCGGACTTGTTCTTCCAATTTGATGGCTTTGTGCTCTAAGGCACAGTCAGAAAGGGGATGCTTAGGCTCATCACGGGGATCTTCTGGGCCACACTCATCTCCTGTACTTCTCTGCTGAGCTGCAGTGCTGAAAACACAGGGCGACCCCCTGAAATACAAACTAGTGACAAAGAAGGAAAGTTAAGTAACAACAGGGCCAAAAAGAAGAATTCTAGTTCAGTGCCATTACTAAATGCAGACTCTCTTAAAAAAGGATTCCAGACAAAATTTTAGCTCTTTTCTGAACACATGGACAGCTAGCACAGAAACACAGATACAGATGTCTTATTTTAGACTCACATGTCACTACAGAGGCTGTACACCACTTCTTTAACATACCTTGAAAAGAGTCATATTTTCACAGGAAAACAAGTTGTGGATTGCATTTTTGCCAACCTCCCCCTACAAGTGGTCAATATTGGATGATACACTTCAGAAACACTTTTGCAAAATAGTCTTGAAAAGGAGGCAGGTAGTATAAAGCTGTCTTTACAGTTATTTAAAAAAACCCCAAATGTTCTGAGCACAATTCAGTATGATCTGCAAACCCGTGGCACTTAAGATTTGCAGGCAGAGCCTAGCCTGCTACCTAAGATGGTACAGTGACTGCAGAAAGGCAAGTCACACCACTGGAATGGCTGTGGATTTCTGTGGAGCAATTAAACAAGCAAGGAGACACACACACACACATCTCAAACTGCTGGCTAACGGAGGATCCAACTCTCCAACGCTCTGACCTGCTTGTTCTCCTGGGTGCAAATAGACATAGTACTTGGTGTATTCAGTTTTCCTCCTACAGAGTGAAGAGGAGGAGAGTTTGAATTGTTTGCCAATCAGTTCTTCTTGCAAAGTAGCAATCGCTAGAGTGTACCCAGCTTTCAAGTCCACTGCACAAAGAACAGCTAAGAAAGCAAAAAAAACTGTCAGAGACATGACCAAGTTGTGCGCAGCCCAAATACTCTGAGGCCTTCTGCCAGGACCTTCACAGCACAGTTAGCTGTGTTTGGAAAAGGGACTGAACATGTCAGCTGAAGATTGCCCCAGTATTCTCAAACAAGTTCTAAGCACTTCAATTGTTTTTATCTCTACTGGCATTGAAAGAGTCACAAAGGCAAAAAAACACAAACAAACCCAAGCCTCAAGTGCTGAAGCCTACCGTATTTCCAAAGACATTTTCATCCTAAGTACGCTTTTCAACTAAAAAGCACATTTGACAGTGGTTCATGCTAGAACAGCAGGTGAAGCTCATTCAGGAGGCTGCCTCCACAACTTGCAGATGAAATGATGAAACAACCAGAATGTCAGATAATTGGATTGAGCTGTACAAATACTGCCTAGGTGCTCAGCAGCCTATTCTATACTGTAACAAACTCACAGGTTTCTTGAAAACTAGATAATAGAAGTCTGTCTGAAAACTGTTTGGTCAAAAGATGATCAAAACCAGTATGCTAGACACTTTGAAAAATAAATATTTTTCACTTCCTTCCGTTCTTTTCCAGAAAGCCCTTCTTCACCTGCAGTACTAATGCTGTCACTCCAAGAGTGAAACCAAGAGTTTTCACTCCTCCTCCTCCAACACCTGCTTTTACAAACTGACCTAGACAGGACTCATTCCTGCCAGCATGAGGCTAAAGCCTCAGCCCACCTCCCTCTCACGCCTTACACCAGGAACAGAGTTCGCAGCAGAAAGTTCAATTTACTGCCAAACCAGCTCCATTCAGGAAACATTTCAGTATATGCTTAACAAGGAAGGGTGTCTCCTTTTTTGGGAACACCTGGGCTCTTCCTCTGAGCAGGGCTTTCAACATCCCCTTTAACAGAGGGTTTTGTATATACTAAGTGCACTTCTACCAAGTGAAATGCAGCACAGCCCAGAAATCACTGCATCGGCACCGACTCAAACTTCTGTGTGTATACAGCACAATTCAACACTGCACAGAGACGCTAACTTAGGCCCCAGAATCAATATAGCCAAATTCACATTACCAGGCCTGCACCATTAAGCTCCCTCACTTTTCAGCAAGGCTGTACTGCCCGTGTACAATGTCGGAGAAGGGCACAGCTTTTGTTTCTGGGTCTATCAAATCGGGAAGTGACAGGTGTGCTCCCCTTATTCCAGTACTGGAACTGTGCAGGACGAAGATTCAGGGAGTTAAACCAGCTGAAAACTAACCCTACAAAACAAAAAGACTGTTCTGCCTGTATCCCTGAATCAGTTTGCTGACAAATCAGATGAGTGCAAGTGCCAGTACAAAAGAGAAGACAAACACATGAAGCCTGCTGAGACGCAGGAGGAAGAATACGGGTAAGGCAAGCGGTGTCCCCCTTTGGGTGGCAGCCAGGGCTTAGACTGACTCAGCTCTATGATCAAAGCACAGTTTAAGAGATTTATATCTGCCCAAAGACCACCAAGCATCTCCTACCACTCCCTGCTTAGCTGCCCAGATATTCCCTCATTTTATCTCTAACACGAGGTTGCTATGTGTCCCACAACACTAATGACAAGCTTTCTTTTCCCACCTGAAGATAATTGCATATAAAATTTTTTACCAAGTGAGTACTTAAAACACAATGTGTATGTCAAACTGCTCCTTTTCAACACATTACATGCCAAAAACAAGTCTAAAAGTGCTTTTGCTATGTACATGTGCTCTGGAGTAGGACGTTCCTCACACTAATCTTTAAAGAGCCAGGCAAGGGGCTGTCACTAGGCTCTTTTCAAAAAGCTGCCCAGCCACCCTGGTTCTGTGTTCCAGGAATACCAAGACAGAAGAAATCCCCAAATCTCAACCCTGGCTGCAGAGAGATTTTTCTGGGGCACGAGACCCCATCTTGAATGGCTTTTAAGATGCTGGTCACATTCGTGCTGTTGACTGATTAACATAGCACTTTTTCAAAGTTATAGAAAGTCGACTAAATCAGAAGTGAGGACAGAGGAGGACCCCCTTCACCATGCCTTCATAATCAATCCAGGAAGCTTTAAACCACTGTAAAGCTTTCTTTGTAAATAAAAGGTATGTCCGTGGAAGCACAAGCACCAACTACAAGCTCTGTCCTTTATCATCTCCCATTTCTTTTGAAGTGCTGCAAGCCTGGAAATTACCTATGCTACAGATGAACCAAAGAACCTGAAATGCAGCTGAGAAAGCAGTCTTGCTAGGTGCTTCACAGGTTAGACTCCTATGTCTCAAAAAAGGTATACAAATGAGTTAACTCTTTTGCATCCAAGAAGCAAAGAGTAGCGAGTCACTTCCCCCTGCAAGGGAGTTGCACTACAGGAATGGGTGCGTTTCGGCGGTGTGTAGGAGGAAGGAGGCATGAATGAGCTGGTGCCTCAGCTACAGGGACCTGCCTACGTGAAGCTGAGCGCTGCCTGCATGAAGTCCTTTCTCCAGCTTGTGAAACCAAGCCATAGAACACTCCCCAGTGCAGTGAAATGCCCCAGGTACCACCTGTGTTCACACAAGCCTGCCTTAAAAGTTGTAGGCAAGAAATAAAAATACAGACTGACTCCAAAGGGAATTCTTAAGAAGGACTATTATGCAGAACTGAAAATGCCGCTCACTTTACTTCTTCCTTCGGGATGAAAGAAATATTCCACTAAAAAGAGTAAGTGCTATTTACAGCCTGTCCACTGCACTGTGCTCCATCTTCTAAACACAGTCGTGATCACAGCTGCCCTAAAAATAGGCAGAAATCCCACTGGAGGAAGTTGACACATCCTGAAGTGACAGACACGTGGAAGTCCCAGAGCGTGTGAAGGGATTATACAACTAAGCTGGTCATACAAAAAGATTTACAAACTGATGTCACAGAAAGCCAAACAGATGTAGCAGAGAAGTTGATTGTATCCATATGGTTTCACCCAGTTGTCCTTAAAGATTAGAATTTAAATGATGAGAACAGGTGCCTGTGGTCAGAACAATAGTATCACCTCTTTCCAGAGCACAGGCATAACATCCGACCACCCCAACCTGTCACGTTCCCTCTGAGCACAAGGGTCCTACCCCATCTCTCCTTAAACACTCCCTGCTGCTGCTCCTCCTCCTCCCAAATCCACATGACAAAGCACAAAAGTGCAGAGATACAGAGAAACATCCACACTGGTGTTTTAGCTCAGGTGATCATGCTTTGGAAGGTCATCTCCTAATAACCCCCAGCTACCCGTGCTGTCTCACTAGGGAGTGACACCAGAGATTTATCCTATGCGGATTCCTCTCTGATGAAACTGGAGAACCAGCTTGTGCGGCACACCTTAGTGCAGGGTGGCTGTGCACTGGGCCGCGGCTCCCAGGGTCCGGCGAGTCCAGCGCCAGAAGTCCCCCAGGAGCGCGTGGCCTGGGTGCCTGGGCCCCAGCACCCACTGCTTCGCCGTGCAGGGCTGTTCCGAGCGGCTGCGACGCAGGCACGGCCGCAGGACCTGGGCACAAGGGCGAGTGGCTCTCATGCCGACACCGGGTCTGGCCATCCTCCACAGAGCAGCCCGCGCAGCTCCCACCGGACAAAGTCACCTACTCCAAACCCGGTGCGCAATTTGAGAGGGGCAAAGCAGTCTTCACACACGTATGAGCACATGAAAGAGGAAGGACTTTCAGACACGCATCTTTACATTTAGTCCCAAACACAGTTGCTTCTGTTCTGTGCCGCAGAATTATTTATTGCGTTTAAGTGGTCTTTTCAGTTTTAATTCCAGGCAAAAAAAAAATCTAGAATAAGCAAACATGTATTTTCACTTTTTTTTCATTTCACCTGGCCACAAACACAGATGCTTCTATTACGTGCTGCAGAATTATTTTATTGTAATGAAATTGTGAATGAAATTTTTTTCCCTCCCAGAGAAAAAGTCTAAGAAAAATTAACATGCATTTTGATTTTTTTCTTTTCACCTACCCCCATTTCACTCAAATAACCAACGCACCTGTTACAGAGTTCACTTTTATAAGCCATATTCCACAATGTCCAAAAATATGACTGGACACTGTTTTTTTTGTCTAAATATTGACAGAGTTAAATGGACCCTCTTCTCTCGACCACCCAAAACACACTGAAAGTAGAGGTGCTGCACCACTACCAAAAATAAAACCTGAGCAGCACATTAAACATATAGTTCATGAATAAATGGTTCAGATGGGCAAGAGGAGATACAGAAATCACCTGTGGATACGTGTAACGGCAGGAAAACCTCACAACATGACTTACTGACCACAGAAACG